GCTCTGACACTCTCCTCTGGACAGCACATGCATGTGGCATGTAATCACACAGGAGCACACATATACACAGAAATAAGAACGCAACAAATGTCTTGTTTTGAGACTGACATAGGCATGGTCAGATACAGGCAGGACGTGGCATATTAGTGCTAATAGGAATTGAGAAAAGACAAAGGGCCTGTGTCTCCTGCAGTGATGAGTTAGTCTTCCCTGAAAATCACTTAAAAAGTTTGTTATGGAAAGAAACTACCAGGATGAAATCTGGAACAACGAGGGACCCCAAAGAGCAAGCATGGTGGCACTTCTATCCTTATAGGACATGTGTGCCTACAGGGATATATTTGAACTGATTGCAGCTGCCTCGTTCATAGAAGTAGAATGGAAATCAAAGCATAGGGCACACATAAGACCCTTCTTCTCATGTTACCCAGGGCTTCTAAGAGCTGTGTCCTGAACATTAGGGTGTACCAGAGCAAGCCCACCTTCTAGCCCTCCGAGGACAGTAACTGTAGTGTATAAAGGGTGTGTTAGGGTAGATAGAACCGCTTTAAATGCTGTATCCACGAGGAGGGTCTTAGGTTCAAACTCAAATTCATACCACTTGGGTGGTATTTACAAAAAGAGTGAAGTTTTGACTGAATGAGCCCAGACACAGAGTGTAGCCAGGACCCAAAGCGAGTTCTTCCTGAAAAAGGCCACTCAGCTGCAACATATCTCTGTAAATATTTTTTTAGGGGACAGTAGTGAAAAATCCCTGATTAAAAATAAGTAAACGCACACATATATAACAACAAAAAGCGTCAAGTATGGAATCTACTAAAACCACACGTTTTAAGTTGAGGCATGGGTAAGTTTTTGTACCTCTGAGTTCAGTCATTCATTCCATGTGTCTTGGGCACTTCCCCTGTGTCAGGCAGTGTTGGGCAGTGTTGCACATGCTGTCATGATGTCACATGATCAAATCGCCTAGCCACTAAAAGTCTGTTGACCTGCCATCAGATTGGAGCTTAATTTATCTTTATTTCCTGAGCTCTCCCAAACACAAAGTCTAATGAATGCCCATTACCATTTAGTGGCAGATTTTGAAATAAACAGATGTCTCTTAGGACTGACGTTGTTGATATCACCGGTTCCTTTCTCAGAATCTTATTCCCCGAAGGTTCCACGGCTGAGCTGAGCCTAATTATTCCTGAGGAAAACCACAGAGCCACGCGTATTAGCAGAAAGGTGATATAAGACAAGCTGGGTCCTCCCTCAAGGATGTTACCTCAAGGGTAAATATCTCTAACTTTGTGAAGGTCCAAGCAGGTGGCCTATTACTGGGAATCATAGCATGAACTGGAAAATATTGGTTTTTAAGGTCCATCTGGAAAGAGTCAAAGTCATAGGAAGGGTGGAGGAAGTTGGACTAATATTTAGTTACACAGGGACTGCCTGCGTTCACCACAGTGCTAGCAAAGATCTCAGTGGTACAACATTTGGGATACAAAAATGTGTTTGCACTAATTATTAACCCGTATCTTCTATTCAGACTTGCACGGAGAGTGTTCAAACTGTCGCCTCCACAGTTCTGTGTTTGTTTTCTCTTATTAAACATTCTGTCAATTGTCATTTACTCCACCCTCCAGAAACCCATGCTTTCTTCTCACTTATGCCAAACCACAACAGTATGGTGTGATCATAATACATATCAGACTCAGCCACCGAAGGTGGCATGAGCCTGTAATCCCTGCATTCAGGAAGCAGGGGCAAGAAGACTGTGAGCTTGAGAGCAGCCTGGGTTACACAATAAGAGGGAGTCTCAAATGTTAGGAACGATTAAGTCACTCTTATCCCATTTTACACATGAGAAGACAAAGAGCAAGAAGGATGCTTCCTGAAGCAGGCGCAGAGGAGCCTGAGAATTTGTTTTACCTGCTCAATCGACCTGAATTAAATCGTGCTCGGCCAGCAGTTCCTCTCACCTGGATAAGGTTCAGTTACTTTCCAAGGTGAAAGGCGCCGTGGGGGATGAACGGGGAAACCCTGTGTATTTGAGTGCGCAGTTCTAGCAAGGGCTGGATCCCACCACCACCACCATTAGCGATGCTTCATCTACTAATTCACATCTTGACTTAGGTAGTGATTTAAAAAGCGGCTTCTTCCAAGAAAGTGAAGCGCCACTGTGCAGAATTTTTAGACTCATGAAAATGCAGAGCATTGCTGTAGCCTCGGGGAGCCTTCAGGGCTTCGGGACCCATTCCATGCATTCCTACCTCTGACTTATTTCATCTTTCAGAAAAGATCATAATATCTAAAGTCACAGCTTCTAAGTTGGCTATCTCCAGAACATCAGAACATAATCTGTGGGTCTTGAAAATGCTAACCCAGAAAATAGTGCAGGAAAAGAGACCCTGACTTGGCCTTTCCTTCTTTGTTGACCTCTCAGACAGCCTGCCTTTCCTTCTCCAGGTATCTGTGTATACAGGGGATGAGGTTGGAGGTTAGCCAGGGGTAGAGTTAAGTCAGGGGTAGAAGACAGATGTGACCAGCAGCTGTTTCTTTGGTCTCCATGGCAAAGATGGCTAACACAGAAGGATGTACTACCTTCTTTTATTAAAAGAACGGTTCTTTTTTCCCCTAGAGCTGATGAATCATTTTGGTGCACCTTTTCATTTAGACTTTATGATTTACTGGTCCTAGAACGGTTCATTGTGAAAGGCTGTATTCACCCAGTAAATAGCAAAACCTTGAGAAAAAAAAATTGCTGTTGACAACAATTTGCTAATGCGCTATTTGGGTTACTGGTTACAGCCTTCCTGGTCATTAGCCCATGTTTTCCAGCCTGGGTTTCATACTCTACACCATCAGGCATAGAAGAGGGTCCTAAAGCATCTGAAGTTACACAGCGACTCGTAGTTGAATTAACCAGGCAGAAAGCAACATAACAACCCAACCATCTCATCTCTTCAAGTCTGTGAAGAAAGCCCTTACTTAGGCTGCCTTCTGAGATGGGCAAGACTCACTTCTTAAGTAACTGATGAGTTCAGACGTCACATGTGTGGTGACGTTTGTTCTGTTCTGTATGGTGTTACGACCCAGTTTGAGTTAGCACTGACGGTTTGAGAGATTTCACATGCACTTGAAGCCAGCCTGTTGGAAGACTAACAGCAAGTCCTTGTGCCCTTTGGGAACTTGGGATAGTTGTTGGAAAATAATTTTTAGGCTGAGGAAATATTTGGAAGTTCTGCTTCAGTTAGCTCTTTAGAGTATTAGTTGATCACTGCTCCCAAAAAAGAAGGAAGGGGGAGTGGGAGGGGGGAGAGAGGAGTAAGAAGAGGAGGAAGGAGAAGAAGAGCAACAACAAAAATAACAGAAAAACAAATTAAAAATTTCAAAGTGTGTAAATACAAAACCCAAACTCTGGTGATCAAATTCCTCACTGGTAATGGTTTGGCTTCCCGGGATGGACCTTTAAGGCCCTGCCCTCAGCCCTGCGCTTCCACAGACTCTTTCTAACTGGAGGCATGAGAAAAGGAGTCCAGTTGCTGACTGGTACTTCACGAAGTTCCTCCGAGGAACTGGAAGTTCTTGATGCAGGTAAGGACATGGGACTAAACTGCCACCAACATTAAAAAGAGACACTCCAGCAGGAAACGCCACTTAGCACGCACAGAACTTGATCATATGGATCAGGGAATGCAGATGACGATCTAGAAGACCGCTCACACACACTACTGAGATTCCCTCGACTTTGACATTACCATCAGAGGCAGCTAGATTCCAACTGCTGTCCCATCCCATAGCGATGCCACCTTCCTCCTGGACTCTCCTGCTGGTCCTGTGTGATGCCCCCACCAAGGACACAGATGACCCATATTTTCCGATCGTCACACCTCTAGTTTCCGACATGATCCTCCCCCCTCCCACTCCTGCCTTCCCTCCCTTTCTGCTTCTTTTCAGTCCCTCATCAGCACTGTATGCTTCTAAGTACACCAATGAGTACCATATAGGAATAAAAAAACATTTATAGAACACCTACTAGGTGCCGAGTCTATGTTTAATTGAGAGGACTTCCCATTTACTCACCCCCCCACAATCATTTGAGACACGCAGTGTGGTGGTTAGAGGCAGCCGGTTAGCTGGGTGGGATTTTAATTATGGCTTGTAGACCACATCTGAGGGGCCCCAAATGCTGTCTGTAAGGCTCCTCCTGACTCAGAGTCTGTGATTATTACTCATTTTCCTCCACTCTTCTTGGAATATAGTTGGGCATTTTTAAGAATATGAATTTTGTAAGAGCCAGGGTTGTTATGTGGAAAGATACTTTAATATAACCTAATCTTTCCCATTAAAAGGAACTTGCTTCTGTAAACTCTCCACTTATCAAATGAAGCCTCTTCCCTCCCACGCCCCCACCCCCACCCCATGCCAATAGGGAGAGAACCAGGCTACAGGGTCAAAATCTACCCGTATGGAAATGCAATTTCCTAGCTAATTGCAGATCTATGAGAGTCTGTCATTAAAGTCCACTCCAAGAAAAAGTCCCAAGGTTAGAAGAACCCCAGTGGTTGTCGCTGACGTGTGGCCAACGATCGGATCTGGCAGAAGCGGAGTCAGCTCAGCCCACCACCCACTCTGCGCGCGCGGAGGTCCTGTGGAAGACAGGGAGGGCGGTGGGAGGACTGGAGGAAGAAGGCACTTTCCTATCGGCTACTGGTTTCGGGTTAGGACCCACTTTGCAAACTCGGGAAGACTCAGGCGTACAGGACCCCTACAGCTCGGGGGTTTCCAGTGGCACCGCACAGCGAGAGGCTCTCCGAGGGTGGCCCAGAGAAGGGGACGCATACTTAGCTCCACGTCCCTGCGTGTCCCGGGGCACCCGGGGCACCCGTGTCTTCCCTCCCGGCTCCGAGTCCCGCGCGGGAGCCTCCCGGGGAGGGCGGGACCCAGTGCCGGTCGACAAGGAGGGAGGGAGGGAGGGAAGGAGGGGAGGGCCAGGCGGACGGCTGGCAGCCTACCGTCTTCTGTTTCTTGACCCCCGACATGCTGCTGCTGTGCCTGAGCCCGGGTCCGGGGAGTAGAGACGTGGATGGCGACGGTGGCTGCCGGGCTCCAGGGAAGGAGGTATAAAAAGGCTCTTCAGACACGTCGCACTTCCCTTGACCGGCCCCCTTCTCCTACTCCTCCTCCCGCCGCACTCCTCTCCGCCCCGTCGGCTCCGCCAGCAGCGCCCAGCCCCGGGGACCCGGCAGCCGCCAGGGCGGGGTTCCCCGCCGGCGCTACGCCAGCTCAGGTCCAGGACAAGCCTGACACACGCTCTGCCCTCGGCCCCGGGAGCACCCGTCACCTCTCACCACTTTTCACATCCCACAAGAATCTCTGGGACCCTAGAGCGAACTAAATTAAAGGCGGGCGCATTTGAGGCCACCAGGTTTGCTGATGTGGACCTCAGAGCACCAGAGTCCAGGCTGTACTTAAACCTTTACCGATGCTCACACGGCACCTCAGCGAACCCTGCCTTAGTCCTCGTGTGCTGCCATCGCGGCCTGGCTTCAGGCTGCAAGTTCTTTCTCTCCATTTGGCAAATGAGGTCATCAAGATATTTGAGGCTTCACCAGACTATATTCCGAGCAAGGAGGTTTCAAACCTGGCCTGTTAGGGCCAAGTGTGACCCCTTGCCCCCCAGCATCGTTACAGCAAGAAAAAGGAAAACCTTAAGTTCGTCAATTAACTGCTCTATGCGCCTGATATCCCGCCCACAACATCACAGACTTACTGCTACATGTCACCAAAAAGTCAAGTCAGCAGGGCCAGACCCAGAGGATAGGCGATGGGAGAGCAGAGAACATTGCCATTTAGCTCAAACATTTCCGTACAGCAGCGCTTCTGCCAGGGGGTGGGCCCAGAGGAGGAAACCATACCAGTTGAGGAGGATTATGGTCTTTAGGTTTTATGGGATGCGACTCTCTGGAAAGACCCAGGTGTCAGGGATGAGTAAGCCAGAGAGAAGCTATGCTGACCAGAACCTTTGGGAGCAGTCACCGGCTTTCCAGTACCCTGTCTTCCTGTCTGAGGACACAAACAGGCCTATAGGACAGCGGCCCTCAAAGGAACCGAGAAGACCTGCAAGGTCTGCTTCTTCAACCACCCCACCCCTCTTCTGTGAAAGGGCTGGAGAAGTTTAGGTGTGAGATGAATCTTTTCTTCCACACCTAGTTTACTTCTAAAAGACGCTCAATTTTCCTTACATCTGAGGAGTTACTAGCGTCCCTTCTGCATGGGAAGATGGCAAAGAAAAGTAAACCAGGAACCTAAATAAATAAATAAATAAATAAAATTAAGATTTAAAGGAACCAGTTTCAATGGCAGCCTGAGCAGATAGATGGTCACGTTCTTCACTGCCCCCACGCTAACATTCTTCCCAAGACTGTGTCCATCACCATGACCACGTGGTACTGATTTACAATCCTCCATATCACCTGCAACCTTCATACGAGGGCCCGATTTTGCCCACTTTCTTTGGTGAGGCTTGAGTAACCTAAAAAGGTTGAGCATTTTATTGTTTAGAGAAGTTGGAATCAGCAAACTTATCGAAACCATTAGGGGAAACACGAATTCCAGCGTTGGTGAGTGTTTATGTCACAGGTTCCACAACATATTTTAGGGGTGCTCAACGCATTTTAATCAAGGATCTAACAAAGAGGCACCACCCATGCATTGTCAGGACAAAGGAATTCAACCACGTTGCCTCCTAGTGGCTGTAATGCATAAGTGTTTGAGGAGAAAAAAAAACCTGAATTGTTGAAACTCCTTACATATGTAGCATTCCATTTATTGAGAAGTCTTGTCCTAAGGCTTCCCAGATACAGGCAACGGTCAAGGCAAGACATAGACCTCCAGCTCCAGCGGATCTGATGTCCTCCTCCTATCTCATTGGGCTGTGTCCCCATCCCATACATAAGTAAGCTAATATTAATAAAAGATATTTTTAAAAATTAAAAAACATTTAAAAATCGGTCTAAGAGTTAACAACCACCTTGATTCCTTCAAGAGATAGCAGTGTATCTTCACACTATGTTTGTCTGTTGTCTGGCCTACAGTTAATTCTGCAGAAGCACAAAGGACAGTGGGAACTGGTTATCAAATTTTCCTTGAGGAAGGTTAAACATGACCTGGAACTTTAAGAACTGGTAGAGCTTTATAAGGCCTCTCTTCTCCAAAGTGGGTGGTATGAAATTTTTGAACATTGAAGGCAGAGAGACACATGTGAAATCATATGATGTGTTCAGTAGATCACCAAGATCTCTTCTGCTGATTTTAGAAGACATGACAGGAGAAGAGAGGAGGCTGGAAGGGAGAACGTGCCGTTCCAATCTGACAGCAGCATGAATGTGTGTGTGTTTCCTCTTCTTGCTGTGTGGCTGGTCTCCACTGGAATGGTGGGATGCTTGTCAGGTCCAGGGATCAGAATTAACTGTCCCAAGATATCCAAAGTCTGGTGAGTGAAGGGTGCGTGTGTGTATGTGTGTGTCTCCAGGAAAATATCTTTTTTCTTCTTCTCATGATATGTACATATGGTTTATGTACGTTTGTGTGTGTGTACACATGCACATGGAGGCTCAAGGTTGATGTGGAGAATCTTCAGTTGTTCTTCCATATTATTCTTTACGTCAGGGTCTCTCAACCAGTCTTAGAACTCGGCAATCCAGCTAGTCTTGATAGCCAGCTTGCTCCGGGGATCCATCCCTGCACACCGAGACTGGAATTACAAGTAGACCACCATGCCCACTTGTTATTTTCTTGGGTCTTTGGGAGATTTGCTCTGAGCTTCTCAAGCTTTAACTGCTGAGCTATTTCCCCAGACCCTAGAAAAATGTCTTAAGAGCTGGTCTAGTTGGGCCTAGTGCCACAGGCTTGTCATTCTGTCTGTTTGAGAGGCTGAAGGGGAGGATGGAAAGTTTAAGGCCTGCCTGGGCTACAGAGACAGAAGAACTGGAATGTGTGGGTATTTGGAGGAATGAATGACGCTCAAGAGCAAAGAGCTAAAGGCTAGGACAATGGCCTCAAACGTTGAAGACATTCGTATTTGATCTGAGTTTTCAATGGTGGAAGGAGGCTGCAGTAAGGGTGACATGCCATCTACTGACTGACAGTTGTAGCTCTGTGATATGACCACTTCCTATCTTCCTGTTTCCGAGTCTTTTGTTCTGAAGAAATCCAGCCTGTCACTGATGATTTGGTACAGTCTACAGAGAAAAACCAGATGTGGTATACCAACAGTGGACCCTGCCACTCAACAGCTGCCCCACAAGGAAGTCATATATATTTATTCCCCTAACCCACAGGTATTATGTAGTTTTTGTATTAATTTAGAGAAATAGTTCAGTGGGTAAAGATACTTGCTCCAAAGCCCTATGACCAGAATTCAATTCCCCAGAACCCATGTAGTGGGAGGAGAGAACCAACTACTTCAAGTTGTCCTCTGGCCTCTCTATACGTACAGTGTCACATGTGTAACACACACACACACACACAGACACACTAAATGTAAAGCAAAATAAAACAAGTATACTTCTTAGTATGTTCACATGTTACATAAAATACAAACAGATCATTATAGAAGATCCACGCTTCAAAGAAATGCAATGACAAGAGCTACATTTGTCAACTGTCAGGTAAACAAATGACATCAGCTCTTTAACTGAGTGAATTGCTTAGCTTTAAACAGATTCTTTGAAAAGATGTTTAGCAGCTGGGCAGTGGTAGCGCACGCCTTTAATCCCAGCACTTGGGAGGCAGAGGCAGGTGAATTTCTAAGTTCGAGGCCAGCCTGGTCTACAGAGTGAGTTCCAGGACAGCTAGGGCTACACAGAGAAACCCTGTCTCAAACCCTACCCTCCAAAAAAAACTTAAAAAAAAAAAGAAAAGATGTTTAGCAATATGGCAAACACTTAATTCATCATTATACTTAGGACTTTAAATGATTAAAAAATATTCTATTAGACTTGAGTTGTTAAATGATTTAACTATTGGTTTACTTAAGTAGACCTTTTTAGGACTTATATTCTAAAGAAATGAAGAAAAAAGGAAGGGGAAAGTGCTATTTAGACTAAAATTGAACAAATATGTTAAAATATGACTTTTGAAGAAATCAAAGTGTGAAAAAAGAAATTTATCTTGGATAGTGGAAAGATAGAATGTCTTTTGAGATAGGCTTTCATGTAGCTCAGGCTGACCTCAAACTCACTATGTGCTAAAGCTGGCCTCGAACTCTTGATCCTCCTGTCCACATCTTACATACAATGCTAGGTTTGTGGGCTTTCACTGACATGACAAGTCTCATCTCTCTTTAATACAAAACCAAAATTCATAATGATCCACGTCTTTCAGGCTCCTGTAGGTATTATAAGACTTTATATAAATCCTATACATTTTCTGAAAAAAATATAGTTTTTCATATGTATTAATATTGTTCAAATACTTTTAGGTGCTCTGGAATAATAACTCATAGTCACTTCAAATGTTATTGAATTTGTTTCTTAGTTTTCATATAATGTTTCAGTCTCTGAATATTAAAAACAGAACTATAGCCATGTGATATCCTTGGTCTCTTAAAGATGGGATATTATTATTGCCTATAATCCTAGCACTTGGGAAGCAGGAAGATCTTGAGTTTGAGATCAGCCTGGGGTATATAGTGAGACCATTTCATAACAAAAACATTGTCTAATAGAAACATAAATAGTGGTCAAAACTATTACCAATACTGAAATACAGCACTACTGAACACCCATTTTCATAAACCTTAAAAGCATCGCAGTCTCACAATCCTGTATTGTCTTCAAACCACACGAACTTTCTCTATTCACTTACAGTTTAGAAAGAGACAATTTTGTCCTGGATTGGGGAAATTCTTTGAAGATCCCCAGGATCTTAAATTTTATGTGTTAATTTTGTGTATATCATGATCATTTAGGGAGTGATGAACCTAGTCAGATCCAATGGTGGGAGTATCAGCAGTTTCAAATTTCTCTTTTAGAGAACCATTGGTTCTCAGGAGTTAGTCCGGGTCAAGCCACAGGGAGGGCTTGGTGAACCACAGGTCTTCCCCCCACCCCCACCCCACGCCCCATACCCCGCGCCCCGCGCCCCTAGTCACTGACTGTCCAGCGT